CATTCGGGGGGGTTGGTTTAGTTTCTTACTCAAGATTTTAAAACGCAACCAACTCCCCCGAAGGGGGGCTGATTGCGTTTTAAAAAGTGGTCAAGTGTTTAACCCCCCATTCGGGGGGGTTGGTATAGTTTCTTAATCAAGATTTTAAAACGCAATTAATCCCTCCGAAGGGGGGGAGTTGGTTACGTTTTAAAAACTTGACCAACCCCCCGAGGAGCTCCGAAAGGAGCGCTCTGTTCTAGTTATTATAACAAACTCAACGAGGTCAGAGTTACAAATTATAATCGAAAATTGACCTAATCATTTGAACACCTGCAGCTGTTAAAATTTGTGGAGAATCTGCGTCCAGCTCGTTTTCTATGCATCAAGTTATTGTTGGTTAGTAATTGCAAAATATTACGAAATGAGCTTCATTAGAACCAACTTCGTTCTACGTAAAAACAATGAGATTATTATGAAAATACATTTCGTATTCCTGTTGTAAAAAAAATAATACAAAACCAATATTTACAGAAATTTTTCCGATCCGCATAAAATCGAACATTTTGCGACCAGACATTGTACAATCCATCCAAAAACCAAAGAGCTGTCAACCTGAACAAATCAACGCATTGTTGAATTTTAACAATTCTTTCAAATGTTCAGTTAATAGTCTACAAACGTCAACAGATGGTAAGATTACTCAACAATGGGCCGATCGACAACAATGGGACGACGGACAACACTGCAACTATGCACAACAATGGAACGACAGACGACAATGGGACGAAGCTACTGTAGACTAGTTCTCCTATAATAACGAGCCACTCGCATTCAGAAACTCAAAGCGATCGATTTGTTTCTGTGTTTGTGTTTTTTCTATAGTGTTCAATAACACTACAAAGTTATATATCAATATATATACACGTGTAAATTGAGTTAATACGTCGCACGCATCGAAAGAACTGGTGAGTTCAATACAACTGCGTAAAACTACAATAGATAACGTGACAATAAAAGATGCAGAAATCCTTAAGATGTGGTATGAATCGAAAGACATCGCTCAACTGCGAAGTACGCGTTGAGAAATTGAAAGAGTTACCACGACAGAAAGCGGCAAAATACCTAAATATTGCGACCGAAGAAGGGACTGAACACAAGAGACGCAGTATGAAACGGAAGACGTCATCGTACGACGAAAAACACGACATGGCAAAAAGTAAACAGCTTAAGACCGAAGATGATACACCACCAATCGACAATTCTTTTAACATACAGAATCTTCCGGAAGAAATGCTGTCCGAAATATTCCTCTACACCGGAACATATGCAAAAATAGGTCGACTGAGAGAAGTCTGTCGTAGGTTCGACGCCGTTTGCAGTCGAGTACTTCTCTGTGCCTTCAACAACATTCAGGTAAGACTAAATGTGCATATCAAACACGACAAAGGCTTTTGCATTGAATAACTAACTAACGTACTAATAGTCTCCGTCTGTTAGAACCACTCCAATATTATTCACTTAATTACTACTACATCCATCGATCTTCCACATGAAAATTTTACCACAAGTTTCTCCATCAAAATTCCACATGAATTTCTTCATGTTACCAATCGATTCAATATCTTTTACGCCATCAACTTCTTGACGTTAATTACCCCAAGAATGTAAAATAAAAAAGTCCCTCCTTGAAGATGGCTGACTTTTGGGATAATGTGCCGTGTACACTGAAGGATAAATTAATTCCAAACTTCGTTTACCGTTAGAAATAAACATGTGTGAGGGTGGGGAGATAACAAAGCGATACCATTTATGGAAATATAACTTGTACACTCTGATGTGAAATAATTACGTTCGGGTGTAGGTCAAGGCGTAGTGGTTTTAGATTTCCTCCTTATGCAATAACGTCAAATTTGTTATGTGCTTAATCTCCCTCAGGTCCATATAACACATCGTAGCAATCTGAAAATACAATTCGTAATGTTCCCTAAGATTATAAGACCATTACGGATAACATAACGAGTCTGTCTCGACTACAAAATAATGGCAAATGTATTTAATTCCAGAAACGAATTGAGCGGATTTCGAAGCAACCTGAATCTTATCTACTCCCCACGCTGGAGGAACAACCGAATGAAAAGCGAAAAAAACCCCAGGAGCAGGCAAAATTGGAGCACACGGAATTACCGATACGGAAATCCTTTTCCAGTGTGTTTGAATGTCTTGCATGGTGGCTACGAGTTGTTCGCGCCTGGGTCTTGCCTTGCATTTCTGCCGGGGTGTGTTCTTTTTACTCTGGCAGACTTCTGGACGAATACCACACCATTATGATGTACCTTGCTACGAATCCGGAAATCGATTATCGCATCTTATATAGCACCTCATTTGAATGCGGAAAACACGTACTCAAGTTCCTACAGCATATTCAGATGGTGACTGAGAAGAAATGCGATTCTACACAACAGCAGAACCCTGCCCTCAGAGTTTTACCCGCGATTGTGCTAGCAAAATTACTTAGAATCTGCTTCAATGACAAAGGAGAGGTAACACGATTCGTTCAGGTACGTTTAACCCTTTCTTTAAACGATATAATACGACCTTATAATTTGAAATAGATATTATTTCAGAATCTGACAGCTTTCCTGAGAACTTTAGGCTTGTTCGCACAATGTGCATGTACCGTCGGGTCGGAGTCGACCCCTAGTGACATTATGAACAGGATCCTTCCATCCTCTTCATGACAGGGACCTGTTCATATGTTTCCTAGGCAGA